TTTTAAACCCCCCCCCCCCCCATTCTGCTTTAAGTACTTACCGTATGTGATGCCTCTTGATGCGAACATCTTCTTACCTCCACTAGTTTCCAACAGTCCTTCCAGCGCAGGTGCCGCTCTCTTGTCCAGCGCAGACTACTATGTCTTCCTGTGTCCCACGGAGTCTGTCCTGGGTGCACGCTCCCGGATTGCGTGCATTCACTTACACTGCATCTCTCCTCCTCTCCCCTCCAGTGATATCAAGTGCGCATTGTGCCCGCACACCGTTCAGGAAGCTGAGATCTGCAGCCGGGGGCTGCATTACTGCAGGTAAGTTACCGGGGGCTGCAGACACAGGTAAGTTATTACCCATTTGACAATTTGTTGTTCTTTGCTTGCTAGCAGTAGACATATGTAAAACAAAAAAGAGACTTTAATACTACTTTAACTCTGCACATTATGCGAATAAAACATGTTGTGATGAGGCATTTCATTGCACGTATTTTCATTTAAGTTCCTTACTGGTTGTGAATATTTTATTGTACTTCAGTCCATGAATCTGCACAAATTTCTCAGACAGAAGGAAAACAGGCCGCTGAACCAGAATGAGCTTGTTGCCAACATCTAATGTGTGTCTTGATAGAGTAAAAGTTCCCAGTCCAGGTATCTGCACCCCCTATAATATAATCAGGAGAGAACAAAAGAACATTATTGCATTATTGCTTCAGGCACAGTGGAGGCTTTAAGTGGTCTAATGCTGGCCACGCATGTTTCAGCCTGATTGACCTGTCACCTTTAGATTTTCCAACAACAATATAATGTAAGAAACCCCCCAAATGAATGAAATGAATAGTGCTTTGTTAAGCCATTGCTCTACACAGTTTTTGGTAAATGTAGTAAAGGTTGTACAGTCAGATTGTAACATTTTTGCCAGATTAAAGCTTGCCATACGTCTTGCAATCTTCCTCTCCAACCTCTGTACAGGCCCTTCTACTAGTCGTCCGAAGATCTAAACTAGATGTGCATGACATGCTTAACCCACTCCCGTCCATGATCTGTGTACAAATATCCCTTAGCACGATACCCCATGCTGAGGATACGTCTTTAAGGCCTCATTCATACTGCTAGGAGCCGGCCCATACAGATCCGTGCGGCGTGCACGGCCTTATCGGGCCGCTCGCGGGAAGGACAGGTGCTGTGTGTGATTGTACGCAGCGGCCTGTTCTTCTCTATGGGAGTACGCCGCCGTATGCTCACTCGAACTGCATATCCGTGTGGGTGCGGGTGTCCATGCTCGGACACAGACAGGATGCATCCTGTCTGCGTCCGAGTACGGACACCCGCACGGATGTGCAGCTCAGGTGAGCGAACGGCCTTGTACTACCATAAAGAACAGGCCGCTGCATTCAAATCACACACATCACCTGTCCTTCACGGGAGCGGCCCAATACGGCCGTGCACGCCACACGTGAATGAGGCCTAAACGTTATTCCTTTGGCAGCAACCAGGTGACACTCTGTACAGCGGTTGATACTTCTGGCTGTCAGTGATCAGGAACCAATTAGATCACTAAATCAGCTATGACTTAGTGATTACATACAACCGGTGGCCAGGCTATGGACATTTACCGGCAGATGTTTTGTTTGTGTTATGCTATGGACTTGCTGTAAAAGTCCTCCCGCATTGAAACAGTGTCTGATTGCTGCTTGCTGAATAAAAGTGTAGGACAAACCTGCTTGGACAGTTCCTGAATTCCTCTGTCTCGTGTATGGTTCACCAATACCAGCTGAGCCTGCACAATTCCCCACCCCCCGCCCTCCCCCCTTCCCCTTACAGTACCCTAAAGGAAAATTTGTACTGAGAAAAACATGTAGACGCATGTAGGATGCCATTCCTGACCTCACTCTGAAAATACACATTGTCTGGCTGTCAATAGTTTTGGTAACTGGAACAAGTACGCCATTCAATCTCCTGTGAAGTCAGTGTACTGATCAACTATTACTTTTAATAATGCAACTGGATCTGACAATTACATTGTTAAATAGTTGGCACTGTAGATCCCTCTGCAGCCTGAAGAGAGCAGTGCTAATTTGGGGGCTGAAGGCTTTTTTTGTCAGTGAAGCTTCCAGCCTGCATGGGATCACTATGTCATAGCGGACCTACATACAGTAGCTCTGGTTGGTTGCTGATTGTCACTGAGGGCTGGAGCTGTCAATAGCAGCTAAGCCAGCAGCCATGGAAAGTGTCAGCTTGTTGATCACAAAGGGGGGACTTTTATTAATGTATCCCCAGCAAAAGGGTGGTTAACATTAATAAATAAAGTGCGGCAGAAAGGGGTTAAAAATCACTAATCACTACAACAGTGATACATATTGATAATCATATTACCTTTTGTTGAGACATTTGATGTTCAATGAACTCGGCAACGGAAGCCCATATAGTGGACACATCTAAAACATCAACATAGATAACATTAGAAACATTAAAAAAATGACTATTTGTGGCTCTTATTATTTTATTTATATTTGGATGAAACAAAATGTACAGAAGTGCATTAAACAGAGGCCTACTGTCTTTGTATGGGACTGTACATACCTTCCAGTATAACAAGATGGGGTACACAATTAATGGACCACTATAGTGAGAAATATTATATTCTGGTAACTATGGGATTAATACCTGTAATGATAGTATTCAGTGTATGAATTCCTTTTTTCACATTTCAAAAAAATTGGATTTTATTCTGTGATGTTGCCTGTACGATTGTACGTGCACTTTGTAATACCTAAAGTGACAGCAAATTCAATAGTTAAGGTACTTGAATGCATTTTCAAGATTTAACTCCTTACAAAAATGTATCTTATTTGTGTATCACTCGGCTGTAGATCCTCAAATCATCTCTGAATTGGTGCTGACACTGTCCTTCCTTCTGGAGGGGGGCTGCTTTTGTTCCCCATGGTCCCTGTGTGTGTTGTATGTAGTCACCGCTCCAAGATCGCTCCCGTGATGGACTACAATCTCAATACAAATGAGTAAACTAAACATGAGACTGTAGTCCATCACGGGAGTGAGCTTGGAGCGGTGACTTCTTTACAACACACACAGTGTCCATGGGGAACAAAAGTAGCCCCCCTCCAGAAGGAAGGACAGCGTCGGCACCAATTCAGAGATGATTTGAGGATCTAGAGCCGAGTGATACACAAATAAGGTCCAGTATTGTTAATAGTTAAGGTACTTAAATACATTTTCAAATGTAACTCCTGAGTTTAGCGTCCCTTTAACCTCCCTACATTGACTCAGTGTCACCCAACTCTTGCATACCAGCTTGGAACATGCTTGTTTGAATCTGTGCACTGAAAAAGTGGAATACAGGAGTGAAATGTCAGAGGCTGATTTGGCCTGGGAGGAGGCATAATCGGTGGACAAAGGACCCCTTGTATATTGCAGATGGTCTCCCAACAAGGGATGGCACAGAGGCTTGAGACACACTTGCTGGATATTATCACAGAGTTTATTTACTAAACAACACATTCATAGAGGTACTGTGAGTGCATTTGCTGGAAGGCTGAGATCCATTGAGTGGAATTCATCAAAACATCAATTTCTCTGTGTCATTTTCAAAGCTTAACTGAGCGAAGAGAGAAGCTGATTGGTTGCTTTGGACAACTGCTCCAGATTCTTTCTGCTCCAGCTTGGAAAATTCCCCTCAATATGTATTATAACTAAGTACACTGAATAAAAACAGAGAGGGATCTATTGGTGCACTACTTATAAAGGAACTGTTCTGCTAGAGGAACTGGGGCAATGACACCTTGATCTAGAAGACTTGAGATGGCTCAAATGGAATCTGCTAACCTGTGTAGTTACACCAGAAGATTGGAGGTGAGAAACCGTGGAGGAGGAAGAGAGAAAAACTCCAGTTTGTAGCCCTGTAACACCACCTCCTGCACCCAAGCTTTAGAGATGCAAGCTATCCATGAGTCTGCAGAAGTTAACAAATGTCCCCCCACATAGGAAACTGAGAATGCACCTTCATGCAGAGGAAGGCTTGTCTGACCTGTTGGATGGACAGGGAGACAATCTTGGGGGGTCTCAGAGGTCTTGGAGTTGAGGGAGTGGAAAAAGAAAAGGCATGTTTCTTAATATTCAGACAGTGAGGAGACTTCACAGTCTGTTCCCTAGGCTTCTTCCACTGGAGGTGAAGGGTGCTCTTGCTACCAGCAGCATACTTTATGATTTTGTCAAGGGCTGGTCCAAAGAGAAGTTATCCCTCTCAGGCCATGCAGATCAAAAGCTTTTTACACAAAGGGTCCTGCATTCCAAACTTTTAGCCAAATTGCCCTCTTCATATGTACTGACATAAGACATATGCGAGAGAGGAGATGGGAGGAATCCAGCAAACTGTCAGAGCTGAAACTTAACACTACAGCCATCTGCTCCACTCGTTCTATAAGCTCGTGAAGGACCAGTTGTTAGATCTCTTTTAATGGATTTTGAGTAGTAAGAGCCAAAACCGGACGAAAGGCAGGGACCACCAGAGAGAAAAGAGCTCTACAAAGGGATTTCACCTGCCTACCAGCTGGATCCTTAAAGACAGTCGCATCTTGTACTGGAATAATAAGCGCCTTATCAAGGTGGGACACTCCCAGATCCACAGTGGGAAAAGACCACTTCTGCACCAAATCCTCTCCAAATAGAAACAAGGCTAATAAGCACCTAGGAGCAGCAAACAGCTTATCGGGATGCTTCCAAACTTCCTAGAGAGAACGTTGGAAAAGCAGGTGCAAAAGGAATTTATTTGTGGCCTTAAAGGAGAACTATGAGGTGAGTGCTTTTCACTCACCTCATAGTTCTAGCCGACCTGTGACAATGAGACTGTCACAGGTTGGCTCAGTAGATCGGGAGGTGAGCGAACACATAACGGAGTTCGCTCACCTCTCGATCCTGTCACAGCTCTCTGCCGTGATAGGGGAGGGGCTGGACTCCCCCCTCCCCGATCCGCCAGCGCTGACTGGCGGAACGGATGGTGGAGGGGCGGGTACAGCTGGCTCTGCCTCTAGATAGGCATCCCTAAATATAATGGCAGCGGGGACACAGAACGCTGCATTGCGCCGCTGCCCCCCTTACCTCCGCTGCTGTCCCAGCCTCCTCTTCCCCCGGTCCGCTGGCTTCTCTTCCCCGTTCCGGCCGATCCCCCGATGCTATCCAAAATGAAAAAATGTTTTTTTTGGCTGGAGTTACACTAAAAAAATGTACCTGTTCCGACTTACATACAAGTTAAACTTAAGTACAAACCTACAGTCCCTAACTTGTATGTAACCCGGGGACTGCCTGTATTTGTAGATAATTGAGAACATGGTATGGTTACTATATCCTCAATTATGAATGAATGGGAAGTGATCTACATCCCCTCCTATTCATTCATGTTTGTGGTTACAATAAACACACAATGTCCTCAGTTTATGTATGAACAGGAACACTCAGTATAGAGGATTCCTGTTCATTTATAACAGGGACTGCAGAAAAAGAGATTGAGGGCTCTGTGTTCTCTGAGGACTTTGTGTCCTCTATCTCTTTTTCTATTTTAAAAGGGAAATATCAGGGGTCTGTTTAGACCCCTAATATTTCCGCGAAGCCCCTAAAAGTAAAGAAAAAAATGAATAAATATAACAAAGTTAAAAAGTTTATAAAAAATAAAATAAAAAAAATATTTTTAAAAATTTGAAAAAGTTAAAATAAAAAACATTTTCGGTTTCGGCCTGACATTTTTTTATTTATTTCGGCTTCATTTCGGTTTTGAAATTTTCATTTCAGGGCAACCGCTAGTTAAAACCTAATTCATAAGGGGAGAGCATCCATCCACACCCAATGAAGTTGAAGAGAACTCCAAGGACAGGATAGACTCCAAGAGCAAAGAGTAACAGAACACCAGGTTTCAGACATTGGTTCTGTCAGTAAGCAATAAAACGCCGACATTTCTGAAAGGAAAACAAATTGCAATATAACGCCACTCTGCCCTAAAGTGATATTTTAGTTATAGTTCAGCATCTGGCTTCCAATACATCTTGAAATTCCAAATAATAAACTTTACCTTCAATAATTCCCAAATGTTGCTCTTCATCTGGGAGTTTTCCTGCCCATGTTGTGTGTTGCAGCATTTCCTGAACCATTCTTGATAATATAAATTTAATACGAAATCCAACTAGGAGACCAAATCATGAACATGTGGTATGGTCTTAGCACAGCCATACCCCTGCGCAACAACACTCAGCATGAAGCTTGCCATTATATTTAGGGATGCATCGATACTAGTATCGGTGCCAATACAGAGTATTTGGGCGAATACTCGCCCGAATGCTCCGATAGTTACCTCCGATACCAGAACTTCCTGTCAGAGAGAGATCTCCATTGCATGTTTTAGAGCAGGGATAGCCAAACTCCGGCCCTCCAGCTGTGGTGAAACTACAAATCCCATGATGCATCTCTCTCCGGGAGTCATGTCTGTGGCTGTGAGAATCTTGCAATGCCTCATGGGATTTGTAGTTCCACCACAGCTGGAGGGGTTTGGTTACCCCTGTTTTAGAGGATCCCAGGTCCAAACCCGAGCTCAACCTTACTTGTAAGCACTTCAGCAGTCTATGAAATTCTATCTATCTATCTATCTATCTATCTATCTATCTATCTGTCTGTCTGTCTGTCTGTCTGTCTGTCTGTCTGTCTGTCTGTCTGCCTGTCTGCCTGTCTGCCTGTCTGCCTGTCTGCTTCAGTGTTGAATATGTAGGTAACAATTGATTATATTTGTGGTAGCTGCCCTTTCATGCTAAGTATTAGAATAATTAGTAAGAATATGTGCTCCCTGGAAGTACGCCATAGGAGAGAATTCAGCTGCACATGAAAAGAGATGAAAGGGAATTAGCTGATCATTTACAGAACAGGTCCACTTTGTTTTTGCTTCTGAGAACAATACTAGCATGTCAAACAATGGCAGCTAATGGACTTAATGAGAACGTGTTACATTTCTCCCTATTGAATCTTTTAAATATACACGCTCTTATCTTACCAGGTAAGATAATATGGTGATTCCCAGAACAATGGTCCTGTTGCTCACAGTACAATGAGTCAGCAGCCTGTGAAGTGTAGTGCTACATGGAGAAGCACAACAGAAAAGAACCACCATTTAGGGCACAAAGCGGTGTCATTGGTAAAAACAAGCCAACACACTGTATGGTAAAGTGCAATGCACAATGAACTGCAGTGTATTTTACTGCACATACTGTGCATTGTGGTGGACTGAGTTGCTAAAAAAGGTATGTTTTTTGTTCATCCATTGTGGTGCAGTGTCATACCTGAGCTCCTCCGAACCCGGAATCAATCTCCTTCTGCTGCCTGCCAATCAGCTGCGGCCAGGGAATTGCCCACCCGCAGCTGCACATAAGCACAGAGGTAAAAT